CCGGTCCAGACACTGGTCCGGAAGACAGTCCGGAAGTGTTCGGTGTCCGGGTCCGCGGTTACCATGGAGTATGGCCATCAACAATTTAAGTGCAAGAACGTGAAGGTCCCGCAGAAGATACCACCTAAGGCTTCTTCTACTCTCGTTGAAGCAGGTGATGTGCCCTCCCCGTTTGAAGAGTTGGCCGAAGCTATTGACTCCTTAGTCACCCCACAGACGCATCCTCACCCAACGATACTCTGGTCGTTGCATGTGTCTTGGGCCTTAGAGGACCTACAAAGTGAGTGGTTTGCAATGGATCCTTGTGAGTCCTAGGTGGCACTAAGTCGAGGTCCTAGAGGGGAGCACTTCGTTGTGGAAGTTGGTGTAGATGACGGCAAGTGCGGTGCCTCTCACACACACACACACACACACACACACACACACACGCACATATATAGAAGTTAGAGGACCTTCTTAAGGAAGACTGGATTTCCTGAAGGGACCCCAATGCGGAAGGATAGGATGGAAGGGAGGAAATGGAGGAGGAAAAGGAAAAAAGAGGAAAAGAAAGGAGAAAAAGAGAAAAAAGGAAAGAAAAAAAAAAAAAGAAAAAAAAAGAAAAAAAAAAAGAAAGTGGAAAATGAAGAGTGAAAAAAAGAAAAAAAGGTGAAAAAAAAGGGGGAACGGGAATAGGGTGAATTAGGGCATATCGGTCGGCAACATGCTCTAAGAAAGCCCCGACCAAATTGTGGTCTCGTCAATATCATCCTACCCATGAATCCGGGATGCCAGTACTAGCTGTTACTTGATGCTCGAGTAAGCCCCCCTGGGTGCGATGCTTCGCATGAACCCCTCCCGATATGATTCCCCGAATGATGTGTGCCGGCTTCCACGAATCCTCCCTACCACGATACTATGTGAGTCCTATTTATCAGGCGAACGGATCAGTCCTTGTCCTCCAGAACTTGCAGCAGCGGTAGTGAGAGGCGCCTCACATCGTTTTTTCACGGAGGCATTCTGCTCCCTGCGCCTGCTGCCATCATTGTTACGCCACCGGTGGTGACATACTTACCATTTTCGAAGGAGCTTCTGGGATTGACTCTTGCAAAAAGCCGCAGCCAGGGATTATCGCCCCATATCTTCTCTATATCTTCCTACTTTCTCCCCCCTTCCCCAGATATCTCTTCTCCGATTTGGTCCACTCTCCATTCATAGGTGTTGTGTGCAGCATAGCGGCGTGGAAGGAGAGCGGCGATGAATACGGCGTCTTCGTCTGCTCCGTCCGGAGCGGTAACTGGCTATTATCTCCACCTCCCCCATCCACCCATCTCCCTCCCTTGTATGAATGATAATGCCATCGTCCATTGCCCACCTTCCTTCTCCCCTCCCTCCTCCCCTCCTTGATGACTCTTCTTATTGTATTAGGGATTGTCCCTTTCGGAACGACAACTCGACGGTTTCACCACTTCCCCTGAAGAGCCAATTCAGTGAATATTGGCGAAAAGGCCTTTGGGAACTTTTCACCAAACCCGTCTTCGTTTCGTCAGCGTTATGGGCCGTTTGGCCAAATTGGGAAATCTTGTGTATAGTATATCGTATCACTACCCTCTTTCACTATGGAATGCGTTGCTACCTAACCCATGTTGCATCTACTTTTGCCATCTTGTGTGTTGAATGAATGATTTCATTCAGCATGCATAGGGAATTCTTAGAGAGTCTGAGTCGAAGTGAAGTGGAGCTGCTGAATAAATCGAACATGTAGTCCCGACATTTCGCTATGTGCATGGTTACGTTGTTTGTGTTGTACTTGGGTTTCCTAGCATATCTTGCATTGGTGGAGCTCGCTCATCAACGCACGATCTGTCTTCAAGCCCTGTGGGTAGCTAATTCCACGACGCTTAGTCCTTCCCTGCGGAAGTGTGTTGCTTAAGCCCGTCCTGCACAATGGATTCCGCTTACCAGTGTTTTCGATACTTCGTGCTCCTTGCTGTATTAAACTCGATTGTCGTTGTGGTGAATGGAGTGGTGCTCTTGAATGCCTCAGACATGGGGTATACCCCGCCTGCTTTGCCTCCTATCTGCCCAACACATAGCACGACCCCCTCTTTCTGTATGGGAGCCGCCTTCTTCCTCATGGCCAGCCCTCTTGCCTCCACATCTGTTGTCGCTCTTTGCCTTACTGGGTCTTCTTGCCCGTCACCGACCAGGGTTCTATTCTGCTCATCATGCATCGCACGCCGGCCTAGATGGGAACTCTTCGGATAAGGGTGGGGTAGATGGAAAGAGCCGCTGCTTGTGGTATGGTTGGACGGTGGTGGATATTGTTGCAAGCATGGGGAGGTGTAAAGGGGTTATCGGGTGGGTCGTTGATGCGCGAATCAGTGTTCTCAGTTGATTGATCTGGTTTGTGCTTGAGGGGGAGGTCTGCATGGTAAACGAAGGGATGAGGGTGGTCGTGAGTGGCGCAGTAGTCAGAAATGTGTATTGCACTATGAAGGGATGCGGCCCGATGAGGGGA